CGACCCGTTGGCACCGCTGCTCCTGTCGGACGTGGAAGCGGCCAGAGGAGCCGGTTGGACCCGCTAACGGTAACGCGCTCCCGCCGCCGAGGGCTCGGTTTATTAGGGTGGGGCTCGCCGACAGCCACCCTGGGAGCCCGGGGACGCGGGCGGGAGCGGAATCGTTGCTGGACCCGGGAAGGCTGTGTGTCCGGAGGTGAGGGCCGGGAGGGAGGGAGACTCCAAAACGCTGGGCTCTGCAGGAGACCTTCCGGGCTGTGCGCCCTGCAGCCCATCCGAGCACCCCCGGAGGGGAGGCGAGGAGCGGAGCGTGGGGGGAAGCACATGGGTCGAAACGTGCCGCCTCCTCCTTTCCTTCTCGTCGTGGAAACTGCCCACGGCCTCCCCGAGAGATTGCTCCTTTCCAAGTCAGATCTGGATGGGCTGAGGGTGGGGTTCCCCGGGGGCAAGTCCAGGAGGAAAGCTGGGAGGGTCGCGACGGAGAAAGGCGCTCCCGAGGTTCTAGGTGCGTTGAAAACCCACCCCCGAGAGTGTGAGCGGCGAGGCGGGGAGGGAGCAGCCTCATTCCTCCTTGGCCCTGGTTGCTTTTGCTACTACTCGCGGCGACCGCCAAAGGCTGTGTGTTTTCACTGGAACCCAACTACCTTTCGCCCGAGGCGTGCAACGATCCGTGTTCCTAAAGTGAGCCTCTCCCGGAGCCGGAGCACGTGGCTACCTTGGACAGCACAGCCCGGCCCGGGTGCTCTGCGCACCCGGGAATTGCAGAGTGTGCCGCTGAGGGTGGTGTTGCTGGGATTTCAAGGAGATGATGGGGGGGGCGGGGGGGTGGACTGGCAACCCAGACCATTTCTGCGTTTCATCCACAGGGCTGGTCTGCGAGTGGCCTGGACAGAGGACAATTCTGAGTTTAGGACAGCCTTTCATGAAGGCACTCCAACCAGCCTTATAAATAAGAATGAATGAATGAGATGTCATGTCTCTGACAGTTAGTTGTCTCCCCCTGGGTGGCAGAGGCTTCGGGGGCCGGAATCAGTTTCTTTTCAGCGGGGAAGCGGCTTTTGCGCGCGCGTTGGCGGTGAACGCAGCCCTAGGTTCGCGCTCTCAGTTTCCCTTCTCTTTCCTCGCCCCTCGCGGGGACAGGCTGGAGTGAGAGGGGGCGGCCCGCACTCGGGCGCGGTGACGTCACAGTGTTTGGGTGCTTATGCAAATGACTGCGACCGTTTCTCCCCGTCCGGCCGTTCTCCTTGGAGGTCTTAAAGGTAGACCCAGTCGTTCGTCTGCACCATTTGTGTGGTTCCCCATGCAGAAAGCGAGAGGACTGAAGGCTCTGCTTCATGTACTTCGTTTGGGCTCCTCATCACCCAGTTTTTAAAGCTGCCGTATAGCGTTGCATGCCTGGTTGCTCAGGAAATATCCTGCTCTGACAAAGCGGCCCCGCCCAGATCCTGACCCCGCCCAGCCCCATGCTGCAAGAACTGGGACTGCTGATAGGACTGACTTCTTCAGAGCCTAGTACTGGGCTTGACTTGTAATAGGTTCTTCACTAGTACTTGATGTCTGAATTTTCCTTGAAGAGTCCGTGCATTGCCCTCAGTAAGTTCAGCGTATTCGACCATCAGAGTCGTGGATTTCATTTTTGTGAGCGTGAGTGCCATTTTTACCCACCTGTATCTTTGCAGCAATATATTATCCCACCAAATTTTGAATGGAATTCATTGATGATTTTTCTCCAAATGAAGCATTCAGTATATTCTTTTTTTCCCCCAGAAAGACAGAAAATAACTGTTTTGAAAGGAAGACAATCTGTTTGTTGACACTGCTTTTTCTGATTGCAGTTGTATACCTGATTCAAGAATTACTTTATACTCCCAATATGTATAACTCAAAATATAGTATATCAATGACATATGAAAAGTTTTCATACATGTTTCTAGGAGATAAGTGATCTATTATCCACTTAATAAATAAGAAATGCTATCTTAGTCCCTTCAGGCTGCCATAACAAAATACCATGAACTGGGTGGTCTAAAAACAACAGAAATTTAACTTCTCACAGTTCTGGAGGCTGGGAAGTCCAAGATCAAGGCACCAGCACATTCTAGGTGTCTGGTGAGAACCAGATTCCTGATTTATAGATGGTGCCTTCTCATTGTGCCCTCACATAGTGGAAGGGTCTAAGTTAGCTCTGTTTTTATTTTATTTTTTTTAATTTTTATTTTTTGCTAGAGGCCCACTGCACGAATTTGTGCACATTGATAGTAAATTAATTAGAAGGTGGCCAGCAGGGCAGGACTGGGAGAGATGGGCCAGACACACCCTGGAGCCAGCCTCCCACGGTCCCTCCCCAGCTGGTTATACCTGGGTGATGCTGGGGCTCGATGGGTGTCTGTGGAGTGAGCGGGGTCTCTCTGGCAGGTGGGGTCCCTTGGCCTGGCCTGTGGGGGATCAGGCCGAAACTGTTCCTCTGACACTCCCTGAAGTGTCCCAGAGTGCGAGAGGACACTCTGCAAAGTTGCTTGTCACTTGGCAGCTCCTGTGTTGAGCATCTGCCCCCTGGTGGTCAGTGCATATCATAGCTGTTGGCCGGTCAGTCGGTCGCTTAGTCTTTTATATATATAGACTAGAGGCCCGGTGCACAAAAATTTGTGCACTCGGTGTGGGGGGTCCCTCAGTCCGGCCTGTGCCCTCTCACAGTCTGGGACCCCTCAGGGCATGACCATCTGCTGGCTGAGGCCTGCTCCCCAGGGAATTGGGCCTAAGCTGGCAATCAGACATTCCTCTGGCAGCCCGGCAGCTCTCGGGGGATGTCCACTTGCCAGCGGGGAGCAGACCTAAGCTGCAGTCGGACATCCTTAGCGCTGCTGAGGAGACAGGAGAGGCTCCCACCACCACCGCTGTACTGGCAGCCGTCAGCCTGGCTTGTGGCTGAGGCGAGCTCCTCCATGTGGGAGCTCACTGACCACCAGAGGGCAGCTCGTGCATTGAGCGTCTGCCCCCTGGTGGTCAGTGTGTGTCATAGTGACCAGTCATTCCCAGTCTTTCTGCTGTTAGGGCCAGTTTGCATATTACCCTTTTACTATGTAGGATAGAGGCCTGGTGCACGGGTGGGGGCTGGCTGGTTTGCCCTGAAGGGTGTCCCGGATCAGGGTGGGGGTCCTGCTTGGGTGCCTGGCCAGCCTGGATGAGGGGCTGAGTCCTGTTTTCAGGCTGCCCACACCCCCTTTAGGGTGGGGGTCCCCACAGGGGTGCCTGGCCAGCCTGGATGAGGGGCTGAGTCCTGTTTTCAGGCTGCCCGCACCACCTTCAGGGGGGGTCCCCAGTGGGGTGCCTGGCCAGCCTGGATGAGGGGCTGAGGCCTGTTTTCAGGCTGCCTGCACCTCCTTTAAGGTGGAGGTCCCCACTGGGGTGCCTGGCCAGCCTGGATGAGGGGCTGAGGGCTGTTTTTCGGCTGCCTGCACCTCTTTCAGGGTGGAGGTCCCCACTGAGGTGCCTGGCCAGCCTGGATGAGGGGCTGAGGGCTGTTTTCAGGCTGCCCGCACCCCCTCAGGGTGGGGGTCCCCACTGGGGTGCCTTGCCTGTCTGGTTGAGGGGCTTAGGGCTGTTTTCAGGCAGGCCAAGCCTGCAACTGAAGCTCCCAGTCTCTCCTTTTTTTCTTTTTTTTTTATTCTGGGATTTATTTACCTTCTGTAATTGAAACTGTTGGGGCTCCAGCTCCGAGGCCGGCTGGCTGAAAGCAGGTACCTGGGGTTTGTTTAGCTTCTATAATTGCAACATTCTTGCATGTGGAGCTCAGAACTGGGCCACGGCAGGCGGGAACCTTGGCTTCCTCCATCTCCGGGGCAACCAAGCCTCATGTTCGCTTCAGCTGCGTGGCTGCCGGCCGCCATCTTGGTTGGCAGTTAATTTGCATATCACCCTGATTAGCCAATGGAAAGTGTAGCGGAGGTATGGTTAAATACCATGTTTGTCTATTATTAGATAGGATTACTTCCTAAAAGTCCAACTTCTTATCACATGGGGTTAGGATTTCAACATTTGAATTTAATGGGGGAAGATAAACATTCAAACCACAGCAAATAGTAAAGAATTTTTAAATTAGATAATAGCTATCCGAGAGACCAGTAATCAGAAGAGATCCCTGACTTTTCAATAATTGAATACTTAAAATAACTTGGAATAATTACTAAAACCTAAAATCTATATTTATAATGATTTATTCAGTGATCACAGTTCAAATTTTACTATGTGTATGGTAGAAAATATACTTCCTATCAAAAAACAAAACTTTTTTATAAATAGGCAAGCATTTGCATTCTTTAGATCTCTGGGGTTGTTCTCTATTTAAAAAATCATTGACTTAGAATGATAGGCTTGAAAGAAACCTCAGTGATTATCAAAAGCTTTGAAAACTTCTACTTCTCAACTTCTATTACTACATGCATATAATAACATATTCCTATTCACAGTAGGTTTTAAAATAGTTTTTGAGCAGATGGCTTTATTAACAAAAATCATAGGCATAATCTGATATATGAAAACATTTAAGGTTATATGGCAGGAATCTTAGATTTATTTCCAATTTTCCCTATAACATAAAACAAATATTCTTCTAGACATATTTAGTGAATATTTTTAAATAAAAAATTATCTGCTTAAATATTAACTTTGATCAATAGTGATTGTCTCATATTTCTTGGTGAAAAACAAACTGTATATACTGGGATGCAGGGTGCTTTTAAGTGCACAATGTCACTTGATATAGGATAGAGCTGTTTTCAGTCTTAAAGGTCACTTTATTTCTTCATGATTACTAAGGTATGCTTTCACATAAGATTAATTGATTATTATCTTTGAGTAGAATGCTTACCCTGGGAACTTTTCGCCTATCAAAGTGAAAAATCAAGATGCAGAATTGTGAATACTGGTATAGTAACAGTTGTGTAAAAAATGAAATAGGTTGGGTAGATGAAGAAAAAGCACATTAACTTGAATATACCTGTTATTTTCAATATAAATAAAAAAATTAAAAAATGCCTAAAATATACATAACTGTATATATATATATATATATATAGTATAATG